ATTTTTATTGTTATTTGTTGAATAGATAAGGTGGGTGCGTGTGTATATATTTATCTGTGCGTACGTATAAAAGGGATTGATAATGAGACACTAACACGCGGAATGAAAGAATACCAATTAACTCATTATTATGAGAATTCAAACCGACGGATCAGCTCAGCTGTATTGCAAATCAATCAGGAAATTAAAAGAAAAGGAAGGTTAACTAATAATTGATGTTACTTCTAATTTGATGATTTTCTAATGTGGTTTCTGAGGTTAGAGAAAGCTCCGATTGGATGCCGCCTATCTCTTATCAACCAGTGGATCAGTCCTGAGATTGACAATGCCACAATGGACACTCATCAAACCCCAAACCCACCTTTCTTTTTCATTTCTAAACATCATTCTTTTATCAACACATTATATATTTAAATAAAAATTATTTCAGTTCGATTTTGTGAACATGCAGTATCCATAAATTCACATGCTTTTCCATTTATAACAATATTCTCTTACATATTTGCACTATGTAGTGGAGAACACACACAACACATAATAAATATATATACTCTTTCTGTTTAAAAATATAAAATATTTTTTAGGAGTTGGGTGTTAAAAAATATAAGATATTTTTAGTCTTTCGAGGTATAATTATTATATTTTTTTCTAAAAGTACCTCTATTGATAGTGACTTTATATTTATTATAAAGTGTTTAATAGGGGTAAATATGAAAAGATAGGATTAATTTAAAAATATATAACTACTTTATTGAAGGGTGAGATTTGGTTAAAAATAGCTTATATTTTTAAATTGAGTGAGTAAGCGTTATTTATCCCATATTCATAATTAGTTTAATTTAATTTACGATCTACGAATATATCGATATAGATGACAAAATTTATAAAAGCCACACTATTTATAAACTATAAACAATGCAAATCATTTTTGATAGTATAATTTTTTTATTTATATATAATAAATATTTGACAGATAACTCATAAGATTGAGGTTAAAGATCTTTATCAATATGAGAGCCTTATTGATAGATGATCGACAAGTACTTCTATAAAAATGTTTTGAACTTGAAAGCATGTCTAAGCTCTAATGAGTTCTTGAAACTAGATTCATCTAAACTACTTTTATGGTCAAGGAAGAAAAAAAAAGAAAATATTCAACGCACTAAAAAACCATCACCTAATATCAGAATAATTTAATAACCAAACTTCAACCATTGTGGAAAAAGAAATTGTTACTTTTAAAGTTGTAAAGGAATTATATTTAGAAAGCGTTGCAATTGGAAATACTGCATGCAGGTCAAAAATATGATTACTTGATAACAGTTGTGATCATTTGGGAGGAAAGTCATTGCATATACATTAAAATAACAAGAAAAAGTATATGTAATTTAATTAATTGATAAAAAAAGAATAAATAAAGGAAGAAGATCACACAAGTAGGTAGGGAAGGGCCTCAAATGAAGAAAAGGAGGTGGTTGAATGAAAAGTGGTGAAGAGCACTTGAAAAGTGGTGGGGGTGATGAAAAGAATCTTTTATTGAAGGGTAGACTCATAGAGGGCCCTTCATGTTTTCTTCATGGAAGAAATAAAGCAAAGCTGTTCAATCCTCAGTGCTTGATGATGGAGTCATTTCTCAATGCAGGGTCAAGCCCTTGTCAGTTTCATGCCCCCAATACCATGAAATATGTTCTCTCTCTCCCCCGATTTCAATGATAATGATTTAAAACATTAGGGTTTATTTTATTTCAATTTAATATAGTTTTTACCCTCCATTGCAATCTTATCAAAAAGATTTTCATTGTTTTCTCTGATGTAGTATTCAACTAATTATATAGCTAGGCTCTATTCAACATGGTACATCGAGCCGAATAGACACTAAATAAAGTGTCATCTGCGTGGCTCTATTGTTCATTACATAAAGCAATACGCGAAAGTTGAACTAATTAAGCTTAATTAACTGGACTTATGAACACCCTTGATGATATGTAATCTAGACTTTAGAGCAACTTCGCTAGGCACAATCAATATGTCAAATGGTGTGATTGCTGATATATCCCAAATCAAAATAATTGAGCGGCAAATCTTTTTTCTTTTTTCTTTTGTTTTTGTTTTTGAATATGATGAAGTGTGTATACAGAATTATTCAAACAAGAATTTATTGGAAGAAAGATCGTTACATATTTTGGGTTGTGTTGGAAGGGAGTGGGTTGTCACTTTTTGGTGTTGAGGATGCCTATTGATCATCATTTCTTTGTTGGTGTAATATAATGCTTGATTATCAACACCACCAGCATCGTGTTGACTTAACACAATGCATTGTCTGTGCCTGTGTCTAATTAAGGGCCTTGCATGGCATTACAATTCCTAGCAATATTCATATATAATGACTAGCAACCCACCACTTTATAAATTACACCTGTCACATATATTGCATCACTCCCCATTCATGATTCCTTCTCTTTCACCTTCATAATTATTATTCTTACTTTACCCTATTACCCTCTTTAGGCTATCACTTATAATCACATTAATCACAAGTCTTCTATGAAAACAAATATAATTATATAGTATTAGATATTATATATAAGCTTTTCTTTTTTTTCTTCTTTTTTTAATTCACAACTAAATGATATATTTTTTATCGGGAACAATTATAATTACCTATACTCTGTTACCTATATTCACACTCATTTTCGAATGAAAAGAAACGCACACATTCTCCCCACATCCCATTTTAGTTTTGAACATGTATATCCTCCTTGTTACAAGAGGAGTGTTCGCGTGCTATTCTGGCACATGGGTCACTGGCAATAACTATATGATATGCAGTGTAATTAACTTGAACTAAAATATGATATGAGCATGAAAAGAGAGATCAGATGTAACTCTCCTATATAATATATATGGATTATTGACCTTATTTAGAAGATATTGAGTTCTTTGTATACTCACTTCAACCATTGTTAATAGAAATTAAATTAAAAACTTTGCTTTGACTATTTTATTATTCAATTATTTATTATCAACTAAAGTAACTTATATATACATCGCATGGAGTTTGTTATGAACCACATGGTTTATAAGTTGTCAACAATCCAGTCACTTACAAATTTTATAGTTATATTAAATTTTGTTGGTAAGAATATTTCTTTCATTTCATCATCATTGTGTGATATTTTCAACACTATTTCCGATATAAAAACTTAACAAAAAAAAAGCCTTCTTCTTCTATATAATTATCTAGTAATTAATTTTTAAATTGCGGATCATATCAATTAAATTCGAGCATTACCAGATTTAATGGAAGGTAATTTTTTCATACAATTAATCCTTTTCACTTGCACATCAAAAAAGTCGAGACTATCATTAATCATTAAATCGATCTATATATTTTGTCAAATTATAATTATGATCTATTCAATTCTCATGCTTAATGTGTGTTTCGTTTTACATTTGAGAAATCATAGTTTTAAGTTTTTAACATTAATCAAGCATATATGCTCTTTCTCTCTTTTTTTTTTAATTTAGTCAGAGTGAATTATATTTATCATAAACAAATTAAGCAATATAATTGCTTCGATGTGGGGCCAACTATACTTATCTTGTCAACCACTTCGAATGTTAAGGTTCAATTATTGATATCATCACGCCCTACTTGCACTATATATCTCATCACTTTAGTCATTGCATACCCATAAACAGGAAATACGTATACCATAAAATTAACGATGCACTTCGAACACTGAACAAAATGGGCAAGTGGCTAAATAAACGACGTGGCTAACATTCAATATTTCTCATCGATCACAAAGTCATGAACAAAGAAGAGAAAAAAAAAGGAATTAATCACAGATCCACGAGCACTAGCTACATGCATAACGTATCTATATCTATATATACAAAACGGCAAAGAAAAAAGAGAGAAATAGTGCAGGCACGGCTCGTCTTTTTCCCTTTCAAGTCTCAACAAACACACAGTCACGCACGCGTCTAGGTTCGCTGGGTCCAACACTATCAAGCACTTCACCTAACAAGAAAACTCACCCTGAAACCAAACACCACCATGATAATCATGATATATAGGTATATATATATATAGCTTGATTCTGAAGGGTCAATGTGTTGCATAATAACTGATATGTAGCAGATAAACGGAGGATAAGTTTCGAGCAGGATCAAACGCTGATCTAACCAGTTCTTTGGTGGGCGAAAGGTGGTATTATTGCTTGTAATGATGCTTCTGGAGCCATGTATGTGAGTGTATTAAAAACTAAAAAGACAAGATCTGTGTGTTTTTAAGTAAAGCCATTGAATGGTGATGAAATGGCGTTAAAGAGCGATCCAAACAAGTGTTATGGTTGTGTCAGGCCAGCCATGGATCTACCTTCTTTGCTTAATTTTAGCAGTACAGCACAGTATGGCTGTGACTGGTTCTGAACCTGATGAAGCACCACACGCAGATGCTTTTTTTCTTTCTCTCTCAGGGAATGATGGCCTTACATTATAGCACAAACTTGTCCCTTTCATTATTAATACTGTGTTTCGAAAGAATATGTCGGAGACGTGTTAAATATAAACACACACACACACACACACACACACACATTTATTTCCTTCGATCCACCACAAAGGAGACAGAGTTGCAGGCAAATGAACACTTCCCAGGGGGGCTAGCTATCCCCTGCAACACTACACAAAACATAGCCCAAATCTCTCTGTTCTCTGAATTTTCCAAGCAAAGTGGAATAAAAAGTATCATGTTTACATCGAGTAACAAAATACTTGCATTGCATTTTAATTATTCCAGAATATGTCACCGACCCTGTTAGTTTTCCCAATGTTAATTAATTAGCAGCTTCATGCAACTAATACTAGATACAAATATTCATCGTCCGTGCGCCTGAAGGAATTAATTGTTCCGTATTGCCTGATTAGATATTCATTTGACGCAACACCACCAAAAATGACTCGTGACCACATGGTAATTGGACATGCAGAAATTTAGCAAAAGGATTGTTATTTAATCCTTTATATTAATTAAGATAATTAAAATATAACAAATAATCTATTTTTAATTAAAGATGCTAATACCCGAGAAAAGGGAGAGGGGGGTAGGGAAAAAAAGGTACAATTACAGCTTGGCCAGTTTTCTCTTATTTGTAGCTCGCTCACTCGGACTCACTGACTCAATAACTCAGGTTAATCATTGATGTACAGAGACAGTGTTGGTCATCTCGTCTGTCTTCTAACTCGGACCCACTGACTCAACTCGCTAAACCTCGCCCGCCGGAATTTTCCAAGCCGACGTTGCTATGAGGGGCCGAGTGTGCCACCCTAGCAGAAGGCACCCATTGTTCTCTTCCACCCTGTACCCGTCTCCTCCGGCGAACAGTGCCAGTAACGTGCTGGCTTGCTTGAACGCGTTCGAACCCAGGTGAACCGGTTCGAACCCGGCCGGTCCCATCCGAGTCCTCCACTGACTCAGTGTCTCGTGCCTCTCTATGCGCTCTGACCCTTCGCACGCCACCACGTTGCATATCTGTCTGCCTAGATACAGCTCCGACATCAGCACTTCCTGACTTGCCGCTGCCGTTAACCCCGACGACGATGATGAGCCCTCCAGTGAGTCGAACATGGTTGAGTAGTAGTGTAGTGCTTCTGTGAAACGGGCCAGGAAAACCGGCTCGTTGTGGTTTGCTTCTTGCTCCACCACAGTCACGATCTTCGGATTGACGGCCTTGATTGTGCTCAAGACCTTGTCGATGGCGCCGCGTCGGGCCAGGAGTTCGTGGAGCTCGAAAACGGAGTTCACCGCGACTGCTTCTCCGGGTCGGATCTCGATGAGAGACGGTTCGAGATCCACCAAGCTGTTGCAGACGAACCCGCGGAATTCGAACTGGACTCTGATTGTTTTCGCCATTTGAGCTAGTTTCAATCCTACTTGTTGAAGAGCATCGGTGTTGTCGGGCTGAGGAGGTCCGATTCCGGTGAGGCGGAACGCCGGAGGACCGCCAGGTCGTAATGCGAGGGCTTGCATTAATGCCGGCCATTGCATCCCCTGCTTGAGCCCAAAATCGATGACGTGAACTCTGTCAGCGGTGGCGAACGCTTCAAGAATGGCCTGGTTAGCCGTGAAATGGGCGAATTTCAGGTAGGGGCAGGACTCATAGAAATGCAAATATTGCATATCGGAGAAGGAGGAATCGACTGGTGGTTGCGAGACACCATAAATTCGGAGAGCCAAAGCTTCGGCGAAGTATGTAGCCACCTTCCCCATTGCCCCGGCTTGGGACACCGCTAGCCTGCCCACGTGCTCCACAAGTGCATCCGCAAGCTTCAAATTGTTCTGCTGAACCGCCTCCGCACATGCCATCAGCGCGTGCACCAGACGCACCCCGTTTTCCTGGGAGTCAACGAGAACCACCGGACGCGCTTGCTCTGAGACACTCGCCGGCGACGTTAACGGAGAGGATTCGGTTGAAGGTGAAGTTTTCAATCGCTTGTTATTTTCACCATTTGTCGTTTTGCCTTGTGGGTACGCCGCCTTGCCTGGAATTGCTCGGAGGTCGTACTCGGAATCATCGTGGTAGACGTGCGACAGATTCTCAATCCGCTGCTGCGAATTGGAGAAATTTCCGGTAGATATGACGGAGGATCCGGCCGGAGCCAGAATAGGGTCGTCAACTTGGTGGTTCGCCAACAGCGCCGACGGATCGAGACAATTAGGCGAACCGTGGAGCTCGGTGAGCATGCTTTGAACCCAACCATGGAGATCGGTGGGGTCATAGTGGACGGTGTCAGAAGCAAGATGAGAAATCCCATCTTCCTGAGAAGTGGCCATAACCATCTCAAGCTGTTCGAGCTTCTGGGCCACATCCGCCATGTCCGACGACCGAACCTTGTAGCCCAAAGCCGCCAGCAACTCGTCCATCCCGCTGGAAGCATCAAGTTCTTCCTCCCACATCTTCATCTTCCCACTAGACATTGATGAGCATTCAGTTTTCAAACCACAACCACCAACACCACTGGTATCTGGATAATCTCTCTTCATCGTTTTCCTCTCCAAATCCAACAAGAGAACAGAACAAAGCAACAGATCAGATCTAGAATTCGTTCATGGCAGTGAAACGGGGTTCTGCTTTGCGATTCCTGCAGTGAAACAACAGAGAGAAGGATTGGATGCTTTTGTGTATTGTTGGTTTTTTTGGGGGGCGGGGTAGTTCCAAAGGGCAAACCAGGTAGGCTCAGAGTGGCATAGATAAAGGGACAATGGAGGCCATAATAAATATATATAATATTTTTATTTATTTCGTGTAAAGCTTTTGCTGCAGGGCAGATTTTTTTGTTTTGGAAATTACCATATTAGTATCAGTCTTTCCATTATTGTATTTTCGAGTCCGGATGGACGATGGTCGTGGTTGGCATATTATGTGGTGTCTCTGGGTCTTCTAATTTCAGCGTGAACACTTCAAAATTTATTTTTATTTTTTAGAAATAAAATATTTATTTTTATTAAAGGTTTTTTATTATATTTTTTAATCTTAAATATATTTATATCTCAATTTGTCCTTATTTCAATTGGCCAAGCTTCAAAATTAAAAGTAAAATAATATATGGTGGTTTAAACATAAAGTGTTGAATTTGACATACATAAAATATACTCCCCTATTAAAAAATATAAGGCATTTTTAATCGAATCTCACTCTCAATAAAGTAGTTAATTATTTTTTAACTAACCCTAAATTTTTATATTTATCCTTATTAGACACCCTATAATAAATATAATCATTCATCAATAGGGATTTTTTTTAAAAAAAGCAATAATTATATTTGAAAAAATTAATCTTTTAATCCTCCAACTTTTAAGTCATTTGTAACTCAATCCCTCAACTATCACTCGCTATGACTTAATCCCTCAACTTTTGAATCACTTACAAATTAGTCCCTTAACTTTTGTTAATTTTTTTTTCATGTTAACTTTTATCTCACGTTAATGAATAAGAAGAGAGTATTTTAAAATAATATATGAGCATTTGTTTACCCCTCTTGTTTGATAAAAAAATTTAAAAAAAATTAAAAAATAAGGACCGCGTTATAGGTAAATCGAAAGTTGAGGGACTGAGTTGCAGCGAGTTATAGTTGAAGGACTGAGTCACAGCGAGTCATAGTTGAGGGACTGAGTTACAAGTGAGTTAAAAGTTGAAGGATTAAAAGATTAATTTTTCCATTATATTTTAAACATCCCAACTCCTTATATTTTTAAATGAGGGAGTACATAAGAGAGTTATTTCAAATCAGGACTATGCCCTAAAAAATTTTAAATTAAAATAATCTAAATTTTAATTTGAATATTAAAGTTTGTGCTATAACATTTTATAGAGATCAGAATTAAGAGATTTTTTCTTTCTTTATTATCTTATATGGATTTGAATAATAACACTCTATCAAGTTCATCACACTCTGATCATTTATGACAGTCTAGAGTTAAATTAAATAAAAAATATAATCTCTATTTATAGTCATTATATGCTAAAATTTTAAAATAAATCAATCAAATACAAAAATAAAATATCGTAAACTTTAAAGCTTCTAATATTTGTAAAAAAAAATATTACCCCTGATATTATATTTAACATATAAAATAAAAAACGTATTAAAATAAGCACAATCAATCCAACCACAAATTCAGCCATATTTCGATTATTCTTCACGCTTAAGCCTGCTTTATCCGATACCATGAAAGATCTGATTTGGAGACCTTGTTATTTTCTTTGTAATAACTGAGTTGGTGGTAGTGATTATATGCTTGTACTAAAAATAGAGGTGGGCCCAGCAATAACACCACACAAAAATAATTAAATAAAGGAGCCATGGGGGCACCGCAAAGCTGAAGGGCTGCAAGAGACGCCGATGATAGTATACAGCTGGTGCATGCCAAACTCCATGCGCCGTCATTTCATCGCCTGGTCCTATGTGGCCGAGTGAAGAGTGATAGATTCCATAAGAGTAAATTTATATTTATATATAATATATAAAAAAAATTGGTTAAGAAGATTAAGATAAAAAACAAATTAGTCTCAATTCAGGGACTAAATTTTATTCAAAGACCACACTGAATTATTTATTCATTTTACAAATTTTGGTTGTACTAAAATGCTTTTATCATAACAAAAGAATTTGAAATTGAAGACCACGTTCTACTTGGTTTCTTCACACGTGTTAAACGGGAAAAGACGGTGAGAGATGTTTCTAAGGGACCATCAATGACGGTGTGAGTTATGAGCAATTTGCGAGCGACGAGTTCTAAGAAAACAGCCTCATATTTTCACAAAATGTCATAATCGAGCGAGTTTTGAGGTTCTGGAGAGTTCTGACAATGGAGCAAATGGTGGCCTAACTAAAACACATCGGTGGCAAAAATAAGTATCACTATTTCTCTGCTTACCCAATTGGAGGGATATGCTACGTGAATGATTTCCATTAGTTGCCCAATTTGATATACAATGTCTTTATGATCACTCACTTCTACTTGATTAAAAGAATATATTTTCAAACAGGATCATATAGCTTGCAATTACCACCTGTGTGGGAGGATGCTTTGTCTAGTGGGTTAGTTAAGCATGCTTGTATTTTTCTAACTCTAAACTTAAAACTCCCCCTATCCAAGCCCTTTCTTCTGTTATAAGCATGATCTACTCAATTTTTCTAATGAGTTCGTGTCCTCTTTTATTTGGATTTATTTTGCCATCTTTTAATGCTATTATCAATCTTACACAAGAAGTTAATCATATTGGCTTTTCTGATGAATGTAATTAGCAAACCTGATGAACTGCGACACTTTCAACTAGTTACCTTTGTGAGGATTTTAGAAATGCTGTTAGCACCAATGTATCACTTATTAGTGAAAGAAAGTTGCTAATGTCCTAAGCACAAATGTAAGCAATGCGGGCATTGGGTGAGCTAAAGATGGAAAGTGAGTTGAGAATTATGACTTGTGAATGAGCGCACCATGCAATGAAACCTTATATTTATCTAATCACTCTAATCACTTTGATGTGCATTAAATATGTTTAAGTGATTGCAAAATGAGTTTTAAGTTGTAAAAGTGATATTCAAGATGAATTGCGTGTTTATAATGTGTTTTGAATGAGTAATTGACAATAGATTTGATAAAGATGAGTAACTGAGATTGAAAATAATGTGTTTGTGTGATATAAGGGGAAATGAAACTTAATGCTCACTTGGGTAATACACGGTTGTGAACACAACGTGATTATTATGATAATGAATAAATAAAAATGTGAAAATGAGTGAGCATTTTTCATGGCATGACTAGTAGACAGGAACTCGCCTAAGATTAGGAGTAGAGAAAAATTCATATGATATTTAGGCTGCCCTCCGGTGCACAAGAGTATAACCTTGTCCCACAATTTGTCGGGAGACTATTCCATAGTTTGTCAAAGGACTAAAACCTAGCTATCACTACTAGTTCAACGAGGAGAATAGCTTAAAGTATAAGACACCCCAGAGATTTAAGAGTGGAGGAAGCCATGTCCGAGAGTGAGTAATTTAATTTTTAGTTAGGTCACATCTCACAATTGGTGAGATTGGATAGTCTAATCACACAGATGGAGCCCTATTCAGTGTTATAGCTATGATTTTAGTCGAATAAAATAAGAAGGGTATAATGTTGGTTGATCATTGCCTATGTAAACTTATGACATGTCACATAATTGTGATGTGGTAAGTCGTGTGGCTAACATAGTCACATATCTAAATGTATTATGACCATGTACCTAATGTATATGAGATGAAAACGGGTTAAAGGTGTAATGATAAGTTTTGATATGTGGTTAAATATAATTTAAGAACTTGGTTTTATATGCAAATGTTGATTTACAATTTACATATAACTGCATAAGGTAAGTATTATCTTAATTATTGAGTGTCAAGACTCACCCCTTTTATTTAACACTTTACAGGCTCTAATTTTAACGTAGAGAGGGAGAATGCTTAATAGGCTAGAAATTAGTTCATTTCTATTGTGTGTCTCTAATTTACATTTATTTAGTGTAATATGTAATAGAATATTGTTGTCAATTTTAGGTTGTATATTATTACACTTGCATTATTTTGTTGTTACAGATATTTGATTTGTATTTGGAGATGTGTGTGTGTGTGTGTGTGTGTGTGTGTGTGTGTGTGAATAGGGCTAAAATACAAATGCAAGTGTAGAAATAATGTTCTAAACATATCATAATTGATTTTTGATGTAATGAAATGAAAAAATTACCTCCCTTTGATGTTTTTGGTATATGGGGTTGAGGAATGATTTTTTGTTATATGAATATTTAAGTGCATGTGACGTATTGTATTGATAGTTTTAGGTCTAATGAATATGGTTTGGGTATTAAAAATAACTTTTAGTATTTGATATGGGTTTTGGACACTTGTGAAAGTTGTAAAAAGTGATAAAAATATGTTTGGGTATCTACCTTCTTGGTGTGACTTATTTTAAAAATGAAACCTGTGCTATTAGCTAGTTATTGAAAAAAGTTTTTGTAGACACCTAAATCACGTCATTCGGACGTTGGATGGACAATCGGGACATGTTGGAAGTTCCTCAATTCTGTTGTGATGTTGTCATTTACATGCAACATGTTGCGGCAGGTGGGCGCTTGAGCCATGATGCATAGCATAAAGAGCAACACGTCATAGCAAAACGTGCACAAGTTGCGACACATTACCTTGTCCTACAGTAAATGAGTTGTTTTTCACTTGTTTTTATTCTTCTGAGATATTTTATGCTTTTGTAACTTGTTTTTACTCTAATATAAAAGATTATGATTGATTTAAACTCATTCTGATTAAGAAAATTTAGAATCTCTTAATTTTAAATTAAAACTTAGCAATCACCATTTTAAATTAATTCTTTAATTATCATGAATTTATTTAATAAATTATGATTAATAGAAAAAAATTATAATCATCACAATAAATAATTTAAAGATAACATTACTTCTTTAATAATAATTTAAATATAAAATTGTACTTTAGCTCAATATTAAAAAACCATTCTGCCATAAGCTGTGGCCAGTGAATTTGTGCTCCGCCTAATGTACCATCACATCACATTTGCGGTCGCTCTCGCGCCTTGCTTTAGAGCGTTTTCTCTCTCTTTTTTTCACTGAAATTAAAAACGAAAAGAAAAGCCGCTGAAATTAAAACTATGGAAGACTTGAATCTTAAGGAGAAATTATTGA